AAGTTACTGAATGTTGTTTCAACCACAGCTTTCTCACTTGAAAAATGAAGAAGTCAGGATACTGGATGATCCCTATGTAAGGTCAGAGTCCAGCTCTAAATATTCAATGATTCTATGACGCTGGCTTCCAAAATATTTTTTCAAACTAGATGAGTTGAGTTCTACTGGTCTAGAACAGTACTGAGACATTTTTTTAATTGGAAAATGTAACTTAGCATCTCCTCTCCCCAAACTATTTCTTCTGACTTCTGTTCAAAGGTTGGGTCAAACTCTCCTTCACCCAAGATGAAGATCCCTATGTATTTTTTGACTCCCATGACATCTAATCAGCTGTCAAATCCCAGATTCTTACTTCCTCAGTATCTTATACACTTTTTTTAAAAATTATTATTTTGAGACAGGCTTTTCCTCTGTTGCCCAGGCTGGAATATAGTGGCAGAAACTCAGCTCACTGCAGCCTCATCCTCCTGGGCTCAGGCAAACCTCACTCCTCCATCTCCCAAGCAGCTGGGACTACAGGTGCACCACCACACCCAGCTATTTTTTTTTTTTTTTTTGGTAGAGGCAGGGTCTTGTCATCATGTTACCCAGGCTGGTGTCAAAGCTCCTGGGCTCAATCCTCCTGCCTCAGCCTCCCAAAGTGCTGGGATTACAGGCGTGAGCCACTGGGTCCAGCTTCACTCACCTCTTTCTGCCACTACTTTAAGCCTCCATGGCCTCTTGCCTAGATCGCTAGTTTTCTCCCATAAATTCAGCTGATTACTAATCCCAGACCAGAATATGATTCTATCAAATCAGTACCCAACCAAAAGCATGTAGTAGCTCCCCGTACCTAAAAATTTATGCACAAGTTCCTCAACCTGACATTTAAGAACCTCTGCATCTGACCTCAACCAGTTTGCTACAAATTCTTTATACAACCTGAACTATCCACTACAGTATCATAGTCTCCTGTACTTTCTGGATTTTGTGTCTTTACTTCTGCTGTTGTTCTTATAATGCCCTTTTCTCTGCCTTTCAAAACTGATTCCATTCCTCAAAGTTCAGTTCCAATGGTAATCACATTCACCTAGACATTACGGCTCCCGTTGATACTAACATTATGTGACAACTTTAATGGCCAGCTGTGAATTTTAAAAGACAGTTTACCTGGCCACGCACAGTGGCTCATGCCTCTAATCCCAGCACTTTAGGAGGCTGGGGAGGGCGGATCACCTGAGGTCAGGAGTTCGAGACCAGCCTGGCCAACATGGTGAAACCCTAAATCTGCTAAAACTACAAAAATTAGCCTGGCGTGATGGCATGCGCCTGTAGTCCCGCCAACCTGGGAGGCTAAGGCAGGTAGGCGGGCTATAGGCGCACTGAGTAGGAGGGAGGAGAATCGACGAAATCTGGGAAGCAGAGACTGCAGTGCGCCAAGACTGCGCCACTGCACTCCAGCCTGAGTAACAGAGGGAGACTCCATCTCAAACAACACAAAACAAAAAAACAAAAAAAGTTTACCTATGACAGTATACTAAATTTATTACTTGTGCCAATGTTGTTTAACTGGCACTGGCTCCAGACACAGTATCTTAAGGATCTGCATCTTAGCAGAGGAAAAGGAGAATGGCAACACATCTTTGACATTCAGAAACCAGGGTTCCAAATTGAGGACCTACATAGTAGGGTTTGGGCTTCCATGTTATTAAAAGATTTTATTTCTTTTATTTTTTGAGAGGGAGTTTCACTCTGTCGACTAGGCTGGAGTGCAGTGGCATGATCTCAGCTCTCTGCCTTCCAGGTTCAAGTAATTCTCCTGCCCCAGTCTCAGGGGTAGCCAGGATTACAGTTGCACACCAGCATGCACAGCTAATTTTTCTATTTTTTTTTTTTTTTTTT